GCAACCCAGGCCCCCTGCACTGGAGCAGAGTCTTAGCTACCGGACCACCAGAGAAGTCCCCCTCAAATTTTAAATTCATGCAATATAATCATAGAGTACCATATAGTTCAACAGTAGACAGATACACAAAGTCATAATGTAAACAATAAACAGTGACAGTTACACAACTATATGTTACATTAGGAGATACAACATATTAGGAGGTGACTATATTAGGAGATAAAGGGAGAGGAAGCTCAGTGGGCCTAAGAACCCTAAAGCACAGATTCATCTTCCAGAGGAGGAAGCCAACAGATATTTAAAATTGAAAAACAAGTAATACCTTAATATATGGACGTAAATATAAGAAAAAAAAAAACAGCTAAACGTATCAAAAATAATTGCTCTAAAAGCAGGAACTGGGAGGGAAAATTATTCAGGGGGTGGGGTTTTCATTTTAAGCCTTACAGTACAACTTTCTTTTTAACTGCACAGGTGTATTATTTAAAGTAAAAGTTAATGGGTTGCTGTTTTCAAGAAACATAACTAGTGTTCTTTGTATCATTTAATATCAATTAATTCAACCACTCCACAAATTTTATCTGGGCATTGACTGTGCCAGGCACTTTTCTAGGTGCCAGGAAGACATCAGTGAGCCAAGTCTTTGACCTCATGAAGGACCTCAAGGAAGGTCCCTCCTTATATCCAGGGGGAAGCAGACAATAAGCAAATTAACATATGCTATAATGTCAGATAACTGTTGTGAAGAGAAATAAAGATGAGGGTAGAGTGTGATGGGGCTGCTATATAGGCAAGGTTTTCAGAAAAGGGTTCTCCAAGAATGAGCAAGAAGGAAATTGAGCTCTAAAGGAAAAATCTGTTTGGAGAAAAGGTCATATAAGCAAATTAACAGAAGGGTATCACTTAAGCTCAAGGTGAGGGCTTCATTTTTCAAGCCTCTCATACGCCAAAGCCATGTGTCATTCAAAAGCCTGTACCAAAGTTCCCTGTGGTGGCACACACAGACTGCCAAGCACCTTCACGCTGAGTCCTGTGAACACTGCTTCCCACATCCCTAACTAGCCATTACTTACTAAAGTGACTGGCTAAATATATACTCAAAATTTCTTCTTTCCATAGAATAGGCAGATGTCACATATTTCAAATTTCAGTGTTTTTACTCCTATTACATGGTTAAAAGGTTTCATAAACCAAAAGTTCAAGATGTTAACCAAGAAAGACTCTAGATTAATTTCAAGCTACCAGAATATATCATATTCAATCTTTATTTTCTCACTAAAGAAAAACCGTAAACCAACGGGAGTAAGACATTTAAAAAAACAATTTAGAGAGTAATTTTATTCTCCAAGAAGCCTCTGACTCAGGTTGAGCCAGAGTTTCAGGCTATCTGAATTATCTTGTTATTGAAAACTGAGTAACTGAAAACAAATTCAACTAATTAAATCTCAACTAACAAACAGTCGGGTTTAGAGTTTAAAAGTTATTTAGAAATTTCTGGAAAAGCAGACTAGCCGCTATACTGTATGCTGAACTGTAGCAGTGGATGTTGATGCTCCCCTCATCAACACTCCCCAGGTGGAGCATCACATTGTAGTAGGAGCTAAGACTTGGGTTTAGGTTCACTGCTTGCTCGTTGGTGTACTCACATTTTCAAACCCATTTCCTCAGCTCAAAATGGAGATGATGATACCTACATTCGGTCAATGTTCTGGGCTTCCCTGGTGGCTCCATGGTAGAGAATATGCCTGCATATTCCTGCATATTCTCCCTGCAGGAGACAGGGACTCCATCCCTGGGTGGGGAAGATCCCCTGGAGGAAGGCATGGCAACCTACTCCAGTGTTCCTGCTGAGAAAATTTCATGAACAGAGGAGTTTGGCGGGCTAACGGTCCATGCGGTCCATGCGGGGAGGTCACAAAGTGTCAGACATGACCAAAGCGACTGGGCACACGCACAAGGTCCATGTTAACTGCTGGCACTCCTGTAAATGAGAAGTACCAACACACTGAAGAATCAACAGTATATTAAAAAGTTTTGTGATCTGCAAAGGTCCCTGGATGGGGATGATCCCCTGGAGAAGGAAATGGAACCCACTCCAGCATTCTTCCCTGGGAAATCTCATGGACAGAGGAGCCTGGTGGGCTATTGTCCATAGGGTCGCAAAAGAGTCAGACAAGACTTGGCGACTAAACAACAACAACAATTTGCGACAAACTATACCAATGCTTGTCATATTTTGAAAAGAAAAATTTCAGTCTGAATTCTCTGATTTAGCTATAATGGTTATTAGGTTCTACGGAAGAATAGGACCTTGGTCCACTCACACATACACAGCCAGAGGAAGAAGAAATTTAGGGAACGATTTAAAAAATTTAGGGAAAAAAAGAATTAGATTCCCTTAAAAACAAGTGCCAAGAAAAATATTTTTAGCAAACATCTCATTTAACTATATAAACCAAAAGTATAAAGCTGTCTAACCACATGTAAACTGTGCATCATGTGACTTAAGGTAGAGTGTTTATTTTGGGGAACCAGATACCCAAAGTACATAAACATCAGTGTATTTTTAAAATAACTTGTCTTGATGCTTTTGTTCACTCAGTATTAATTCCCACTATCCTTAGAAGGAAAAACACAACAAATATCCTTAACCAAAAAAACTCTTCGGAGGAGTTTTTACTTCTTCAAGTTGTAAACTAGTGCTAAATAGTGTTATCTGACAATCTGCCTCCTTATCCTTTAAGCTCAGGGCACAGACCTATCCTTTCCTCTGCTGTTATCACCAACATCTAGGCAACTAACTGGCACCAAGTAGAAAATCAATAAACATGTGTAGAATGAATGTACAAACTGGGTCTTAAATTGCAACAGCACAATTTCACTTATACCTATATTCATCATTCACTACAAAAAACTGCTGTCTCAGCTGTAATGACATGGACTAAGCTGAAAGAGACATGTACTAGGTACATAAACACACACACAAATACATTACTCACATATATGATAAAAGTGCATAAAGTAAAGGATCCACAAGGTCAGTTTTAAAAGTAGTTATATTTTCTCTCGGGATATTATGGTCAGTTCTTGCTGATAATCAAAGTATATATCAAAAAAAGCAGATTGCAATCTGGAATGATTTAGGCAAAATGAACAATATTTCCAGAGTTCCATTCTCAGTATTTAAAGTCAAATTTCTTAATTGAATGACAGGTGGGATAAAATGGGGGGGGGGGGAGGGAGGTAGATCTTACCATTTCAAAATAATGTCCTTGCATTTGGTCTTTAAGCTAATAAGACAAGTACTTTTCCAAATCTTTGAAGCCAGACGATAAACTTTATGCCTACAAAGCTTGAGTAAGAGGCTTTTATTAAAATAATACCGTTTGGATAAGATCCTTCATAATTCTAAAGTCTCCAGGAAGATATGCAGCAGTAACAGTAACACACATTATTTATGATTTTACAGCACTGTATAACCATAATTATCTGGATGGAATAGGCTTTTAGGGCTAGCAAGCTATGATCTATGACTGTAATACTATGCTGCACAGATCCAAAAGTTTCCCAAAATTCTGATGGTCATTCATCTTCAAAGAGATGGAGCTGGCTTGATGGTGAATACAGAAAAACACCACGATCAACTCACAAACACCGGTACGAAAACAAAGCTCTCTACAGCAACTACAGCGCTGAAATTTTAAAATCCTGGGCATGTAAAAGATAAAACTCAATTAACTGCTGACTGTATTTCCTTCTTAACCATCTTAAAGGCCAGGTACTCTGTATTTCTTTTTAGAGCTTTCTTCAACAGAAATTTAGTGTTTCAACGGCCCCTCCTCCACAGCCAACATCAGTGCCTTTTCTTCCTCCTCCCTCAACCCTCCTGGGTAAAACAAATTAACATTTGTACTAAGGTACCTCCTATCAGCTCGCAGCTTCTTCCCAAACACGCCCACGTACAGTGAAACTGGACTGCGTCTACACAACACACAGCTACAGGAAAAGAGCTTTGATGGGGGCAGGTGGGGAGATAATTTAGCTCAGCACAGGTTTAAGGTTATTTTCCAGATACAGATAACAACTCCTCACTCCTGGCTCGGGTTTCTCTCAAATCACCTCCAAAGCATGGTGTTTATGAGTCTACCTAATCCGATACTGCAATGGAATCCCGGATATTTGCAGACAGATATCCCCGCTCTGCAAGTGTTTGATCAGACCCGTGGGGGAACCTCTTTTTTTTATTCTTATTTTTTCAGCATGCCCGCTCCTAGCAATACAGCACACCCGATCTCAGGCAGCGGGCAGCGGGCAGCGGCCCCCGGCCCCGCGTCCCGCCGCGCGGGACCAGCGCAGAACCGGTCCCCTCCGGGTCCGGGCGACTCGGACTGCGGGCCGCTCCGCAACAGGTCACCCTGACCGCGAGAGTGCGGGTCCGCAAGGCGGCCAGCTGGACGGCCGGGCTCCGGGGTCGCAGCTGCGAGGGCCGGGGAGGGGGTGTGGCCCGGCTCGGCGGGTTCCGGCTCCCGGAGCCCCGGCTCCGCTCACCTGAAGGGAGGCTGAGGCGCCACTCGGCGCCAAGACAGCGCGGGCGGAGGCCGGGGGCTTCCGCCACCCAGGGGAGAAGCGAGGCGAGGCGGGCTGGCCCCCGGCCTCAGGACAGAGACCCGGAGCGGGGACCCCATGGCCGCCTCCTGACGCCGAGAGCGAGCCGCCGAGGGAGGCGCGGCCCTGGGTTCCGAGCCCCCTCCTCCCTCAGCCCGAGCCCCGAAACCCCTCTCCTCGCCGAGGGCGAGCAGTCCCGGGGCCCGCGGCCGGGCGAACGACACACACCGCAGCGCCCCGGGCGCCGCCATTCCCCGCGCTGCTGCTTTCCACAGCCGCAGTCCCTCCGCCCCGCGCCCGCCCGAAGGAGGGGCCGCTACCGGCCAAACGAGGGGGCGGGGAAGGATTGGAGGGACGCACAGGTGGGGCCTCCGCGGCAGCCGGGCCACCGGCTCCCCGCTCGCGGCCCTCCGCGGTGAAATCTGCTGCGGTGGCCGCCGCCTTCAGCGCCTGGCACCTTACCTTTAAGGCCAGAGAACGAAGTCTGGAAACCCTCGGCTCCCGGATCCAATATCCTGCCCGCGCCAGAGGTGTTTTTTGAAGTCACTGCGCACAAGTGAGGGGGTTCCACATGTGAAGAGCCACCCCACTGCCGTAGGATCATAAATTACAGAGATCAATACTCTCTCGCATTAAGATTCAGGAGGTGTTAGAAGTAGGCCTTTGTGTGATGCCCTTGGCTTAATGAGCAGATGACAGGGACTTTGGCATCCCATGGGCCTCAGATTGATGAGGTCCAGGTGAGCAGTATTTTCACGTTGAATGCAAGAACAAGATTCTGGAATATTAAATATTTCCTGTGAATAAAAAAGGAATGGGTTTCGCTAAACAGTGGAAGAGTGTTGTTTCGGATGCACTATACGGGGTGGCCTATTTAGAATTAACACCATTTGATGCAGTCTGACTATAAATGGAAGGTGAGCCACCTTTGTATATGTTATCATTAGACCATTTAGAAATGGATGGTTTATTGGATGATCTGCCTCTCTTTCTCTCCAGGCAATGTATGGTAGAATGTGAAAGGAATACTGTGAACCAGCATTACCCATAAAACAGGAAAGCGACAAAATCCTTCCCATTTACTTTCTTTCCTCTCTAATAACCCCTAAACAGAACAGATTAATCGTGTATATTGTAGGATGCTAATTATTTCCTCCCTTGACTGCCCTTCACTCTAGTATGCCCTTCAACCCTTGTCTCATAAATAGAATTACTTCTTTACAGTGCTCCCCTTACCCACACCCAAAGTTGTTAAAGAGCAAACAAAAAAAGGATAGGTAAAGTTCATGTTCTTTTCATTTTTATTTCATTTACTTTCAAAGAAAGTCCTTTAAAAAAATCATGATGAAATCGCTAGGAGAAGCAGAGAAACCAAACTTTCAAATGAAAATAGACCAAGAAAAAGTCGACAGACTAATGGTGAAAAGGGGAGAACGTGTGATGTATACAGGAAGGTTTTCCACAGATGTTAACTGCTTCAAGTTCCAAAGAAACAACAGGCAAACAGAACTAGCACAGATCCTTCTAGTTGGGTAAATCTTTAATCTTCGTAAATTGTTAGTAAGAGAGTAAGGAAAAGGTTATGTGCCCACAGTAATAATTCAACAATATAGATCTGTGTATATAAATACCATTATCACTGCTTTTAAAAAAAATAGGAAAACTGAGGAACAACAGGGAATTTTATTTTGTGTAATTGTCTTGTAATAACTTTAAATTTCGATTAGGGTTTTTCCTTGCTCAACATAGTGCGACTCATAAAAGAGAAAATTCTGATAGTAGCCTTTGCAATGGAACCAACAGCCAGAAGTTGAACTTCATACATCCAGTATCCACATGGAGGAGATAACTTCAAGTTCCAGGTATGTGGGAAGCTTTCAGGAGTTACTTTATATTCTCTCACCTTTGCAGGACCTTCCCCTTGGCTGGAGAAGTATCATTGCCAGTGTCTGTTGCAGAAACTGTCCCACTTCTACCAGCAGTCAGGCCACACACTGTGTATTTTTTATCTCCATTGTACTCAAGTGAGGCAGACCGTCACAGTCTCTTCTGTTTGCTGGAGGGAATGATGAGTGATATGAACCCAGTGGGGATCCTCGTTTCCTACCCGCTGGTGGTTTCAGTGTGGACATAACCCAGCTCCTGCAGAAAAGATCTGAGCTAGAATCTGCTGTAATTTCCCAAAGTTTTCCATTTTCTATGGACAGTATTGACTCTGCATGAGTTAGCTGAAACAGATTTCTCCAGCCTCGGAATCACCCAACCTCGGAACTGCCTGCACCACACTATCTGACTTGCGCAATGAAAAAGGCTTATTGTAAAAGCCTTTACTCTGTACTCTTCACCTGGTGGGGTTGATTGAGAAAAAGAAATGGGCTTTCAGGAAACAGGACTCAGAGCTCATTTCTTCCCTTCACACTTAGAAAGGTTTTGATTACTTTACACAGTTAGGAATAAAACTAGGAGGGTTTTATAAAAACAAATGAGCCTGTCTTCCTACATCTACCAATAATTTTTAAAAATTTACTGTAAGAGCAATGAAGTTTTCATCTGGACTCGAGAAAAAGTCCTGTGACTCATGAAGCTAGGCCATGGAGATACTAAATTCTAACATACTGAATTTCTGAGTTTGGCATAATTACTCAAAATCTGTTTCTCATGTTGATAACCTGTAAAATAGTAATTTTATTAACCTTTAGAGTTGTGTTAAGTTCAAATTTCCAAATTTCGTTAAGACTAAGAATTTGTGTATAAAAATACAGAAAAAAGGTCACTCTCAATGTCTGTTTTTTTTTTTTTCCCCAAAGCTTGGAAATTATTTTGGGAAGTCAGTGTCCTTTCCTATTCATTGATATGCAAATGAAACAGTGACTTTTTACATCCAAAGAGGAAGAACAGCAAATTTTCTTTATCAGAGCATCTTTAATCATGGTTAAGTTCTCTGAGTTGCCTTTTTTTTTTTTCCTTAGTTGCTTTATGTTTTCCATTTGCTTTTGCCAAAAGACAAGAAATATACAAAGTCTTAGTATAACAAAAAGTACTACTGTATAAAATAGAAATGCCATTATTTAAAATAGAAATCAATAAGAATTCAATATGCTTAAAAGTAGTTTCAGAACAACCACCATTATGTAACAGTTTTATTACTGTCCATCAATCTCATTTCCAAGGGGTAAGCCAAGGAACTCATTTAGATGTAGAACAAGCAGTTTCACAGATGAGACCACCACTGTAAAAAAGAATCAACAAATAGCTCTTGTCATTACAGCTGTCAAAACAAAATCGAACTGGTGGCATAAGAAAGCTTATTATTTCAGTAACACTTAATTCTTTTACAACCAACAGAATTTTAGTAATAACATGTATCTCTGTCGTTTTCCTAAGCTTTAATCTTTTTTTTCAAATATCTTTACCGGCTGGACATTTTGAAAAGATCTGTTATGTTTGTAGTGTTCTGACTGAAAGTATAGGCAGAGTAGCATATTCAAAATTCAAATGCACAGGGGTTTGAAGGAATAGACAGGTGTTCTCCAGAAAACTTGACACCAAGTTACTGGAAGAGCCTGCCACAATTCCCAAATCAAGAGACACATGCCACAGATAATAAAATACAAAGAACAGAGATAATCACCCGTCCATTCAAATATGAGCAACAAATTTCAAAAGGCATCAGTTCAGTCGCTCAGTCATGTCCAGCTATTTGCAACCCCATAGACTGCAGCACGCCAGGCTTCCCTGTCCATCACCAAGTCCCGGAGCTTGCTCAAACTCATCCATCAAGTCCGTGATGCCATCTAACCATTTCATCCTCTGTCATCCCCTTCTCCTCCTGCCCTCAATCTTTCCCAGTATCAGGGTCTTTTCCAATGAGTCAGTTCTTCACATCAGGTGGCCAGAGTATTGGAGCTTCAGCTTCAGCATCAGTCCTTCCAATGATTATTCAGGATTGATTTCCTTTAGGTTTGACTGGTTTGATCTCCTTGCTGTCCAGTAAGGACTTATTTTATGACTGAGCTATCTGTCACAAGGGCAACTCTGCAGGGTATGGATCAGCAGGGATGTATTTACTTCGTGAAGATTAATGTTTCCCTGGAACAACTCTTGGGAAGACAAACTAGTATGTAAATAAATTGTTTGTATGAACTAATACAAATTAATTTTAAGGACAATTTTAGTAATGCCTTATTTATATGACAGGATAAGGAAAGAGGGCAGCAAGGGATTGAACATAATTAGATTTTCTAGGTAACTGAGGTTTTCATCTTCAAGTACTAGTAACAGTTTCATTTAACCCACTTGTATTGATGTTTTTTTCTGAAATACCACTTGCTTCTCGGCCTGAAACTAATAAAATATGGTGTAGCTTAATCTATTCCAAATGACCCAGAAGTGTCTTATATCAAACAAAAGCTATAATACCAGGATGTCCCCAGAAGCTTAGAAGTAGTTAGTACCCTTCACTCTACAATAAATAATCATGGCCTACTATGTTCTTACACTCCTTTGAGTCTAATTGAGCCGGACAGTCCTCATGATCAATCCTCCTGCCGTCCCTTCTTGCTGCCCTGCTGCTGCAGCATTGCCCGTGTGCACATGCACACCTCCATTTGAATCATCTTGTCATGCTAGCCAAATAACCAATATTTTTTAAAAGGTAGGAGTAAAGAAACTCAGATAATGCTAAAACAACTCTGATATGTGGGGCGAAAGCCATCTGCCTACTCTCATATTTTCCTCTCTATTTTGGAAATTGAGTTTACCAGATAAGTAAATTATTATTGCACTCTACTTCCTTTATAAAAATGTCCTACATACTTAATGGAAGGTGAGAATCTTTGTCAACAGTGTTCATCACAGTAGTTTCCTCATATTCATATACCCTCCATTCAGATTAAGGCTAGAGGACTTCCCTGGTGGTCCAGTAGTCGAGAATCTGCCTGCCAATGCGGGGCACATGGTGTGGGAACCCTGGTCTGGGAAGATCCCACATGCTGCGGAGCAACTAAGCCCCACGTCCCACAGTGACCGAGCTTGCACTGAGTCCACGAGCTACAACTACTGAAGCCTGAGAGCGCCTGGAGCCGTGCTCCACCACGGTGAGAAGCCAGCACACCCACAACTAAAGAGTAGCAGCTCCCCCACCCTGTAGCTAGAACCAACACAGCCAAAAATTTAACAAAAAAAAAAATAGGAATTCATAAATCCACACTAGTAATAAACAGATTAATCAGTGGAGAAGAAGGACGTACTCTTGCTTATACTTGAACAGGTAAATGTGGGGGGAGTACTGGAGTTGGACAGTCATTTTGCAACCACAGTGGCAGAGTTTGGGTAAGACAGGAATCATCAATAGGCATTAACTGTAGGAGAGAAATTTTGATGAGGAACAGGATATTTGGGTCATCTTAGAATTCTTCCTAGAAATATCCTGTTAGTTGCAAGGAATGAAACACGGTAATTATACACTGGAGAAACTGAACAAAACCTTTACCAGGTAATCAAAATTAACATCACAAATGAGGGACAGATGGACGTTCTTTGTGTCAAGATGCAGTTCCCAGAGGACGCAGCATCTAATGAGGAAATGAGGAAATATAATGATGAATCTAATGAGGAAATATCAGATAAATCCCAAATGAGGATTGTTGTCTTTTTTTTTTTTAAAGGGGGTAGGAGTTGTATTCTTCAAATTTGTCAATGCCATGAAAGGCAAAAGTTGTGAAAATATTCCAGCTAAAGAACCATGACAGCTAAAGGCAATATGAGATACTAGGTTGGATCCTTAAATGGAGGGGGAAAATTTTATAAAGCAAATTATTATATTAAATGGAAGACAGATGTTAGATTGATTAATGTATCATTAAAATCACTGAAATTCATAACTATACTGTGATAATGTCCCTAAATACTGCAATATTTAGGAGTAATGGGCTAAGATCTATGTATGATTGGAGGAGAGAAATATATTTATATATATATATATATAAATCCATGGAATTTTCTCATCCATGGAATTTTCTAGGCAAGAGTATTGGAGCGGGTTGCCATTTCCTTCTCCAGGGGAATCTTCCTGACCCAGGGATCGAACCCGGGTTTCCCACTTTGCAGGCAGACGCTTTACCATCTGAGCCATCAGGGAATCCCATGTATATTTTATATATATAAAGAGAGAGAGAGAGGGAGAGAGAAGAGAAAAACAAAAGTAATAAAAAAGTGAAGTGTTAACAAAAAGTGACTCTGGATAAATGTTGTTTGGCTATTCCTTGTAACTTCTATAAATCTGAAGTTATTTCCAAATAAAATGCTTTTTTTTTTAAATAAAAGGATTTTTAAAAAAGAATTAAAATAAAAGCAGCAGTGACAGAAGTAAGCAATCCATAGACTGTATAGCATGCTAATTATTTTAAATGGCCACCTTACTGGCAAATCCCACATGCTTTCTAAAGTGGATTACTTCCATGAAATTGTCTCACCTCTTGAGTTAAAATTACAGAAACAATGAATTTTATAATTAAAGAGTCATCTTATCCAACCTTTTTATTTCATAAATGAGGAAACTGTGGCTCAGAGATTCAAGACTTATCCTAAACTCTCGAACCAGTTAACACGTCAGAGCACGATTTTGATTCTACTTCAGTCTCTACAACTGCTGAGCTTTCTATCTGAGCTTACTGCTCAGTTTCTACCACTTTCTCTTTCCTCCTTCCTAACGCTGTTTCCTATGGTTCTTGTATTCCCCTTTTTTTATGATTATACAGGGAATTGTTATGGCCTTACTGTTTCAACTATCACTGTTCCACTGATGAAAGTCTCCCAGACCTCTGTCCACACGTCTAATTGCCTCCATGGACATCTAGATGAG